AGAGCGGCCACTGCACTCCAGTCTGGGCGACAGAGTGAGACTCTAGCTCAAAAAAAAAAACTGGAATGGTTCTGGTGTTTTACCATTAAGTATGATGTGACTATTGCCTTCTGACATTTATTATGTAAGAAAGTACTAGTCCTGAACTCCTAAAAGTCTGAAATCAGGAAATGGTATAAATTTTCAATTTTCAAATCATTTACTGAGATAGGCATATAGCTTTTCACCTCTGATCTTATGATGTGATGATTATATAAATTCGTAATATTTTTTTTCCAAGTTGGAGTCTCACTCTGTCGCCCACCCTGGAGTGTAGTGGCACAATCATGTCTACCACAGACTCAACCTGCTGGGCTTAGGTGGTCCTTCCGCCTCAGTCTTCCAAGTAGTGGGAACCATAGGCACGTGCCACCATGCCTGGCTAATTTTTTTGATTTACTGTAGAGACGAGGTCTTGCCAAGTTGTCCAGGATATTCTTGAACCTCCGAGCTCAGGCAATCCTTTTGCCTCCATCTCCCAAAGTGCTGGGATTACAGGTGTGAACTACCATGCCCAGCCTAAATTCATAACATTAAACTTTGGTGTCAATACATTATTCTTTTAAATCACCACTGGAAGGAAAGCTCATGCCTGTAATCCCAGCACTTTGGGAGGCTGAGGCAGGAGCCTCATCTGAGGTTGAAATCTGAGACCAGTCTGAGCAACATAGCAAGACCCTGTCTCTCTTAAAAAAAAAAAAAATTAGCCAGGCATGATGGCATGTACCTGTAATCCTAGGGATTTGGGAGGCTGAGGTAGAAGAACCATTTGAGCCCAGGACTTCAAGATTAGACTGAGTTATGATTGTAAGGTTACAGTGAGCTATGATCGCACCACTGCTATCCTGGGAAAAGAACAAGACCATGCCTATTAAAAAAAAATCAGTGCCACTGGATATTTATTAAAATTTTATACAGCATTTTCTTTTTACTTCTAATTCCACAATAGCAAGATTGATTTGTAGTTTTTTTGTGTGTGTACTGTCTTTGTTGGGCTTTGGTTTCATAGTAATGCTAACTTTTTTTAAAAAGTATTTTAGATTCAGGGGGTACAGGTGCATGTTATATACTGTGTACTGTTGGGGACTGGGCTTCAGGTGGTCCATTCCCAGGATAGTGAACATAGTACCTGATAGGTAACTTCTGAATCCTAGACCTCCCTCTACTCCTCCTCTTTTAGTGTGCATAGGGTCTATTTCTGCCACCTTTGTGGCCACTGATCTCCCACATGTAAGTGAGAATATGTAGTGTTTGCTTTTCTGTTTCTGAGTTAATTCGCTTAGATTGACGCTCTCCAGCTCTATCCATGTTCCTGCAAAGGACACGATTTTGTTCTTTTTTATTACTGCTATGCTAACTTTTTAATATAAATTGGAACATTTTCCAATTTTTTATGCTCCAGAATAGTTTATATGTCACTGAAGTTATCTGTTTCAGGTCTTGTTTTTTTTGTTTCCTGAGTCTCACTCTGTTACCCAGGTTGGAATGCAGTGGTGCAATCATAGCTCATTACAGCTTTAAATTTCCGGGCTCAAGAGATCTTCTTTGCCTCAGCCTCCTGAGTAGTGGGACTACAGGCACACACCACCACATCTGGTTTTTAAAAAAAAATTTTTTTAGAGATCGGTCTTGCTGTGTTCCCAGGCTGGTCTTGAACTTCTGGGCTCAAGGGATCCTACCACCTAAGTCTCCCAAGCAGATGGACTGATAATCAGTGTAAGCCACTGCACTCTGCTCAGGTCATTTTCTAAAGACATTTTTAACATATGTATAACATTAGCAACCTTGATCATTTTACTGTAATGATGATTATTCTATCCATTCTTAAATAATTGTCTCCATTATAAATGGGGTAACAAAATTAAAAAGATGCCAAATTTTGTGTTCAATACTTTCTAGCTTTGATGGTTAAAAATTTAAAACCAGCCGGGCTTGGTAGCTCAGCCTGTAATCCCAGCGCTTTGGGAGGCTGAGGCGAGTGGATTGCCTGAGCCCGTGGGTTCGAGACCCGCCTGGGCAACTTGGTGAGACCTTATCTCTACAATAAAATCAAAAATTAGCTGGGCGTGGTAGTGCACGTCTATAGTTCCAGCTACTTAGAAGGCTGAGGCAGAAGGATCGCCGGAGCCCAGCAGGTCGAGGCTGCGGTGGCCGGGAGCATACCACTGCATTCTAGTCTGGGTGACAGAGTGAGACTCCAACTCAAAAAAAAAAAGAAAAGAAAAAAATTTAAAACCTTTCAATTTTAGTATTCATGTAAATTATACTTTAAAATGTGCTGATTTCTAAACAAAGGAAGTCTGCATTTATAATAGCTGCCAAAAATTTTTTTCCAGAAATGTTACAGCTCTAACCTAACTGTATTGAAACAATGGATAATTCCTCATTTTAAAACACAGTACTACCCATTTCTCAACAATAGAGTCAACAGCATTTTATTAAAAGTGCAGTTACATTAAAAACAAGACATGTGTTTTAATATTACCCATTTGTAGCTATGTTTCTTTTCCCAACTAGATTTTAGTTCATTACAGTTACAAACATGAAGCCCTTCTTTGTTAAAATCAATTATTGCTTATTAATCAATAATTACCATTCATTTTATTTCTGGTATATATTACTCCCAGATCAGCCGGAATGGAGTCAAAGCCACTGCTTCCAATGATATAAACCCCTTTTTCTGCAGCTTTCTCATGATACTTCCAATGCATTAGTTCCAGAAACTAAAAAAATCCAAGACAAGAATCTCAATCAGAGCTATATAGAAACACCTAGATCAATATTAAATGGTTTATTCTTAAAGACAAAGCAATTAGACTTTGAAAATGCTAACCATTGTTGCTCTGTGGCAAAATATGAATTATCAAATATGTTTTCGCTTACTCAACAAATACTGACTGAATGCCTACCATGCACAAGGTGGTATGGGCGATATGCTGATTTGAATTCATGACACTATTTGATTTTTTCAGAATAACTTTTAAATGTAAAAGAAATACCTATTATAAAAAATAAATTAATATAAAATACAAAGAAAACAAAAACAATTACCCCAAATAGCATCACCCAGATGAACAGCATTATAGACTTAGATCTGTACATAAACGAGAGGAGTAGGAAAGGAGGAGATGACAGAGGAGATAGGGAATAATGCTTGTTCAACTCTTGCCTGCTTTTAAAAATTATTTGTTTTAACAGTTTAAGATTTACAGAAAAACTGAATAGTAAAGAGTTCCCATGAGTTCCCATGAACCCTGTAACCCAGTTTTCCCTATTATTAACATCTTTTACATTAATTAACCAATATTGACATATTATTTTTAACTAAAGTCCACAGTTTATTCAGATATCCTTAGCTTTTACTTAATGTCCTTTCTCTGTTCCAGGATCCCATCCAGGACATTACATTTAGTTGTCATTTCTACTTAGGCTCCTTTTGACTGTGACAGATTCTCACACTTTCCTTGTTTGTGATCACCTTGGTAGTTAGAGGAATATTTCCCAGGTATTTTGTAGAATGCCCTTCTACTGGAATTTATCTCATGTTTTTCTCATGATTAAACTGGGGTTATGGGTTTTGGAAGAAAGAGCACAGGGGTAAAATGCAGTTCTTATTACATCATTTCAAGGTTATAAACTATCAACATGACTTAACAGTGCTGATGTTGACCCTGAATACCCAGCTGAGGTGGTGTTTGCCAGAATTTTCCACTGTAAAATCATGCTCCCCTTTCTAAGGGTGGAGTTGCTACATACATTCTTTGGAATTCAGAATTCTGCATAGGAGATTTGTCTCTTCTCATCTCTCTGCCCATTTTTAAAAATTAGTTATTTGTATTTCTATTCTGAACTTGTAAAAATTATTTATCAGGCAGGCTCGGTGGCTCAGCCTGTAATCCCGCGCCTTTGGGAGGCTGAGGTGAGTGGACTGCCCGAGACCACGGGTTCGAGATCCGCCTGAACAACTTGGTGAGACCTCATCTCTACAGTAAATTAAAAAATTAGCCGGGTGTGGTAGCGCACGCCTGTAGTTCCAGCTACTTGGAAGGCTGAGGCAAAAGGATCGCCAGAGCCCAGCAGGTTGAGGCTGTGGTGGCCGGGAGCGTGCCACTGTACTCCAATCTGGGTGACAGAGTGAGACTCCAACTCAAAAAAAAAAAAAAATTATTTATCTACTCTGGACCTTTCTTAGGTCTTAACATTGCTTTTATGGTAGCTTATAAGCTGACTTAGAAGCTTTACACTATTTTCTATGCTTTAGGTTGTTTTAAATAACATAGGAATTAAAATTAAAAAATTTAAAATCCTTGTTTCCTACTTCCTCTTGAATCAATTTTGGTAATTTATTCTTTCCTAGCATTTTCCAATATACTACCAACTGATAAACTCTACATAACAGATTGGCACCCTGACAATGATAATCAGTAGAGAGACTACAGAGACATTGGGGGATACCATCTTGAAGGTGGTGGTACAGTTTAATGCCTGTGAACACATTACTTCCTGAAGTCAGACAAACCTCAGGTCAAGACCCAGTTCTTCTACTCACTACGTGCATGACTGAGCAAGTTAGTTACTCCTCTTGAGCTTCAATTTCCTCATCTATAAAAAACAGAGGAAGATACTAACTTTATAGGTATGCTGTGAAAAAGTTACAAAAAGTGCTTAGCACAATGCTGGGCATTTGGTGAGCATTCAATGAATGTGAACATTTAAAATTTTTAGGTTGAGGGAATTTTACATTTATTTTTCTGTAGTATTATAAAAGTACTTGATTTTTTTTGTATTGTTGTTGTCTTTGGAGTTGGAGGTTAATTCTGTCACCCAGGCTGGAGTGCTGTAGCATGCTCACAGCCACCCCAGCATCAACCTGCTGGGCTCAGGCGAGCCTTCCACTTCAGCCTCCCAAGTAGCCGGAACTATGGCACACACTACCATACCTGGCTAATTTCTTATGGATTCATTGTAGAAATGAGGTCTTGCCAAGTTGCCCAAGTTGTTCTTGAACCCATGGTCTTAGGCAATCCTCTCACTTCGGCCTCCCAAAGTGCTGGGATTACAGGCTTGAGCCACCGTGTCCAGCGGTACTTTATTTTAAAAAGGCAATTCATGATGAAAAAGTTACAAAAGTGAGATTCTGAGAATTACACATAGTACACGATTTTAATTATTTCCATTTACAGCATGAAGTAGCTATAAAAATAAGCACATCCCATATATAATGAACCTGAAATAAATGAGGTTGTGGAGAAGAAAAAAAATTCAAGAAAACTGAAGCTAAGATTTTACCATAAGGGCTCTCCTTAAAGCTATCATTGGAATACCATCTCTAAGCACTAGAAAGGAATCGTCAATTTCTAAACATGACTGCAAAATTGCATTATTTTCCACTTCATTAAACATAAAATTATATGTTGTTAATTCAATGTATTTTCCTTTTCATTTTATATACCTGAGGCTCTCCACTGATGTCAATACAACTGGTTCCATTTTCAATACATGCTTTTACCACAGGTTCTCCATAAAATCGATACTGGGGGGAAAAAAGAAAAGCAAAATGTTACTCTCGCCTGACAATCTTTAATGAATAATCTTGGAAGTACAGTCTTGGTTATCAAAAATTCTAATGCTAATAAAGTAGCCTAAAGATAAATTGAGAAAATAAAGTATCTGTACTGTATCATCTCTTGGGGTAAATAAACTGAATTATAAAGGAATGAGTGCTTACTTCTAACTGAAGACAAAATGGAGAGTTTTACATAAGCGATTCACTTGAGTTAAATCATGAAGAAGAGTAAGGATTTGCCAGGTAAAATAAAAATCTAGGTACAGGAAGAAGTAAACATAAAAGTATAAGAAAGAAAGTTGTTTCTGCTACTTAAAGCACAAGGTAGCTGGGCAGGAAGTGGCAAGAGATGAGTCTGAAAAGAAAGGCTAGGGCCAGATCAGGATTGACCACATGTGCCAAGCTAACAAGTTTGAACTTTATCTTGGTTTCTACTTTACTTGGCTTTCCTGGAGGATTTTAAACAGGACAGTGATATAAGATTTATAGCACAGATGTCACTTTGCCTGTAGTACTGGACAAGTACTGGTAAGAAAGGATGAAGGACCAAACTAAGGAAGTGGCAGGATATACTAAGGATGAGATATATATTAATAGTACTAAAAAGTTAGAAATGATTTGACATTCTAATTACCTGGACAGGACACGGAGGCCAATAGCTAGTGGTTCTATTAGCCAAAATTAAAAACAGACAGGCCAGGCAGGTGGTTTATACCTGTAATCTCAGTGCTTTAAAGGTTAAACCAGGAGGAAGGCCTGAGGTCAGGGATTTGAGACAATGCAAGGAATAACCTTTATAAGCAGTACAAGTGGGCTGTCTTTTTTATCTAATTTCATGCCTCACTCCTCTTATTAAGAATGGCAGATAGGCCAGGTGCTGTGGCTCAAGCCTGTAATCCCAGCACTTTGGGAGACTGAGGTGAGAGGACTGCCTGAGTCCATGGGTTCCAGAACAGCCTAGGTAACTTGGCGAGACCTCATCTCTACAATAATTCAAAAAATAGCTGGGCATGGTAGCATACACATGTAGTTCCAGGTACTTGGAAGGCTGAGGCGGAAGGATTGCCTGAGCCCAAGCAGGTCAACGCTGGGGTGGCCGTGAGCATCCCACTGCACTCCAGCCTGGGTGATGGAGTGCGACTCCAACTCAAAAAAAAAAAAATGACAGATAACACTGGAATTATTGGACTAGGAGAAGTGTATTGGAAAGAGTCCACTGCCAGACACGCTGGCTCAAGCCTGTAATCCCAGCACTTTGGAAGCCGAGGAGAGAGGATTGCCTGAGCCCAGGGGTTCGAGACCAGCTTGGGCAAGTTGGTCAGACCTCGTCTCTACACTAAATAAAAAAATTAGCTGGGCAGGGTGGAACGCCTGTAGTTCCAGCTTAGAAGGCTGAGGTGGAAGGATCGCCTGAGCCCAGCAGGTCGAGGCTGCGGTGGCCATGAGTCTGCCACTGCACTCTAGCCTGGGTGACAGAGTGAGACTCCGACTCATAGAAAAAAAAAAAAAAAGAAAGGGTCCACTGAGGGGAGGTAGACTGGTGCCAGTACCAATGCCGATGTCACGGGAATAATGCAAGATTGCAACAAGGAAGAAAGTAGAAAGAAGTAAAGTTTATTATTCACCTTTCACAGATTGGAAAGAGGGCGGACACTCAGAGGCAAGTGTGGCAGTGAATGGCCAAGAACTGGGTATATTTAAGGGCCTTTGAGGTAAAGTGGATTTGGGCTCAGAAGAATGTCCAGGGCTGGGTCTTTGATGTTGACTGTAGCCATGTGAGTCTTAGATCTTGCCAGACATTAGCATCTCATGCCCTCAGGTGGTGGGCTAGATGAGAGGTGACAAGGGGAGGGGGTTTTCCTGCAATCCACAAACTCCTTGACCAAAAGGTAATCTATTATCATTTCTGTGGCTTTAGTCAGTCAATGGGTGATCTTTGATCTTCCACCTTGACAAGGAACTAGAAAGTTTACTAGAGATTTTATGTTAAACCATGAATTAAAAGGTTGGGCTGTCCCGGTCTTGCATCTGATAGAGATTTGCCCAAGAAGTGGGGTAGGTTGCCAGCTTGGCCTGCAGTGAAATGTCAGAACACTTCCTAAAACCTGCTTATTGGAAATTTATCTATGTCTAACCTGTGCTAGATCCAAAGCATGTCAGGGGTAAAGTCTAAGCAAAAATGGCTATGCTGAGGCAAAAAGACTACGTTAAACTAAATTTATTCTAGGTTTCTGTAGGTACCTCCTTTCACTAGTTCCTCTCCTGCCATGAACTAACCACAGAGCTTTGAAGACTTTAACTTCTGAGGCAATGTGGCATAACGGAACAAAGGTTTGCAAGGCCGTGAGACCCAAGTTCACACTTTGACTCCATCATCTACTAGCTATATAAATGTATTTATAAGCCACTTAAATGAACCAGTAAATGAATAAGATACATTTTAAACATACCTAAAATATAGTTTAAGTTGAGATTTTAAAAAAAGTCAAAACTCTATTTTCTTTCTGCACCCAGTGGATCATCATCTTGGGTAATCCTTCGGGTCTGCACATACCCCACTTTAAAACTCATTTGGGGGCAACGCCTTTAGGTTCCCTCCCACTGTGGGAGATTCTCTGTCCTCTCAATAAATCCTGCTGTCTCACTCAAAAAAAAAAAAACAACATTTGGAGCTTTCTTTGGCATGCCTCTAGGTTATTTTACCCAAAAGTTTCTCAAGTTAGTCAGTAATCCACCTGTTTTAGAATCACCTAGGTCATATGCTGGTTATTCAGTCCCACTCCAGGTCCCCTGAACCAGATTTTTCTGAGGTAGGCTCCAGTATCTTGCCTTTTATTTATTTTTAAATTTTATTTATGTACTTATTTATTTTGAATTGGAGTCTCACTCTGTTGCCCAGGTTGGAGTGCAGTGGCATGCTCACAGCCACCATAGCCTGGACCTGCTGGGTCCACCTCAGCCCTCCAAGTAGCGAGAACTACAGGCGCATGCCACCAAGCCCAGCTAATTTTTGATTTATTGCAGAGATGAGGTCTCGCCAAGTTTCCCAGGCTGGTCTTGAATCCGCAGGCTCAGGCAATGACTACAGACTGAGCCACCAAGCCCGGTCTATCTTGCCTTTTAAATAAGTCTCTCAAGAGATTCTTGTGTACTTTATTTTGAGTCAGAGTTTCACTCTATTGCCCACGCTGGAGTGCAGTTGCATGCTCACGACACCATAGCCTTGACCTGCCATGCTCAGGCGATCCTTCTACCTCAGCCTTTCAAGTAGCTGAAACCACAGGTGCATACCACCAAGACTGGCTAATTTTTTTATTTACTGCAGAGACTAAATCTCGCCAAGCTGCCCAGGTTGGTCTTGACCGCCTGTGCTCAGGTAATCCTCTTGTCTCTGCCTCCAAAAGTGCTGGGATTAGAGTAAAGCATGAGCCACTGTGCCTGGCTGATTCTTATGTACTATAAAGATGAAGAATCACTGTTCTAGACATTCTCCTGGAAAATCTCACCTACTTTCCTGACTTCATATGCTAGTATGCTGGTAACTTCCACCTCTATCTCCAGAGTTGCTCAATGAAAAGGTTTCCTTGTCTGTGGTTTCCATTAGAAAGGTCAGGACTGCCGGGCTCGGTGGCTCAGTCTGTAAGACAAAGCTGTGCAAATGGCTGAACAGCACACTGTTCAAGAACATGAGCTTTAAAGCCAGGCCAGACTTACATCCAGATTCCACATGCACTTAACCTGTGTGACTTTAGGCAAGTCACTTTATCTCTCTAAGCTTTGGTCTCTTCATCAAAAGAATAGTGCTAATAACAGCACTTACTTCATTGGTAGTTGTGAGGATGAAATAAAAGAATACAAAGATCTTAACACAGTTATCAGGTACATGACACTCAGACTTATTCTTTTATTATTATTAATGGCATCACTCTCCACACAATTCTTAGGTTAAAACCTGGAAGCTGTCTTTCACTCTATCTCTCTTGGAAGTCACTACGTTTTATAAATTTAGTCCCCTAAAAATATCTCCTGGCCGGGCTCGGTGGCTCAGCCTGTAATCCCACGCTTTGGGAGGCCGAGGTTGAGTGGATTGCCTGAGCCCACGGGTTCAAGACCTGCCCGGGCAACTTGGCGAGACCTCATCTCTACAATAAATCAAAAAAATTAGCCAGGCGTGGTAGCACGCGCCTGTAGTTCCAGCTACTTGGAAGGCTGAGGTGGAAGGATCATGAGAGCCCAGCAGGTTGAGGCTGCGGTGGCCGGGAGCGGCCACTGCACTCCAGTCTGGGTGACAGAGTGAGACGCCAACTCAAAAAAAAAAAAAAAAAAAAAAAAAATCTCCTAAAAATATCTCAGATAAGTCCCCTCTCTTCTACACCAACCAAATCTTAGTTCAGACCCTCTCAACTCTTATCTAATTTACTACAAGTAGCTCCTAACTAGTTTCACTGTAAGACAACTGACCCCCATCTCCAAAGAAGTAACAAACTGTTATTCTAAAATAAAAATCTGATGTGCCCTTTCCTCCTGCCCCACCCCATAGCATATCCATTCTTTTTGTTGTTGTTGTTGAGTTGGGAGTCTCACTCTGTCACCCACACTAGAGTGCAGTGGCACGCTCCCGGCCACCACAGGCTCGACCTGTTGGGCTCTGGCGATCCTTCCACCTCAGCCTTCCGAGTAGCCGGAACTAAGGTACACACTACCATGCCCGGCTGATTTTTTGATTTATTGTAGAGATGAGATCTCGCCAAGTTGCCCAGGTGGGTCTTGAACCCACAGGCTCAAGCAATCCACTCAACTCAGCCTCCCAAAGCGCGGGATTACAGGCTGAGCCACCGAGCCTGGCAGCATATCCATTCTTAAAACCCTTTAATATACAATATAAAGTCTAAACTTAGCATGTCACACAAAGTTCTTAAGCATCATACCAAACCACAGCTCCTTAATTCCCGTGTTTCAGCAGTTCTAAATTCCCTGTAATTCCTGAACATGCTGCTTCTTCGTACCTAGTATGTTTACTTATACCTGGAACATCCTCCCTCCATTCTGTGCCTGCCTGGCTAACTCCCAACTCCTCTAGGCTCAGCTAAGGAGCTTCTCATGTCTCAGCTAGCAAACCCTTCAGCTAGTCAATTTATCTACAAGCACTGGCAAGCTGCAGTAAAACATTAATGAGCTTTAAAAATACTTGTAGTTCCTTCTGGAAAGAATACGCATTTTCTTATTTGCCAGGGTCTGCCCATTCCTTACTTACACCATATTTTATCACACCTGGCCCACTTCTTTGGGTAATCTGGAGTTGAGACTTCTCAATAACTTATCCCTATTGTATTATATCATTAGATTTTTCTCTACTCAGTACCCTGTGCTTGTGTGAGATAAGTGAACAGAGTCAGAGTAGCAATCCTTCTCCCGTGAAGCCAAATAGCTTAAAATTAGAAGTCAAAATTGCAATCCTGCTCTCACTGCTCCATGTTCTAACCCAAGTAGGTGTGCTTCTCCCAAGGGGTACACAAAATGACCCACTGAGTGTGGAATAAATATTAGAACTTTCATTCCTGCTAATTTTTACAGGAGACACAAAGAAAAACATTAAGTTGTATTAATAACTAATAAAAGGACTGACAGCACATTTCCTGAGCCATGTCAAGTGGCCATGTGTTGAATACAGGATGCAACAGATGACCTGAGTGGGGCGTGGGAGAGTTCCACAACACAAAGAGGGCCACAGTGACACCTTCATTCAGTTATTTTCAGTATATTGCAACATAATGCTTTAACGAGGTTGTTGAGCTTCTAAGCCTTGAACTCTGAGGCCTCAGGCATTCAGAGGGGAGGGGATAAAAAGATCCAATGGGGCCCAACACAGTGGCTTATGCCTGTAATCCCAGCACTTTGGGAGGTGGAGGCAAGAGTACTGCCTGAGCCCACGAGTTCAAGACCAGCCTGTGCAACATGGCAAGGCCTCATCTCTACAATAAATTAAAACAATTAGCCATGCATGGTGGCGCACACTTGTAGTTCCAGCTACTTGGAAGACTGAGACAGAAGGATTGCCGGAGCCCAGCAGGATGAGGCTACGGTAGCCATGAGCGTGCCGCTGCACTCCAGCCCGGGCAACAGAGTGAGACTCCTACTCAAGAAAAAAAAAAAAAAGATCCAACAGAGAGGACTAGGACTTCTAGGATGAACCTGGTGGACAAGAAGAAAACTAGGAGAAGGTGAGAATATAGAAGCCAAGTGAAGAAAGGAGAAAGTAACTAGATCAAATGCTGAAAGCTTTAATTAAGATGAAGACTGACTGCCTGAGCCCGTGGGTTCGAGACCCAGCTGGGCAACTTGGCGAGACCTCATCTCTATAACAAATCAAAAATTAGCCAGGCGTGGTAGCGTGCGCCTATAGTTCCAGCTACTTGGAAGGCTGAGACGGAAGGATCACTGGA